CTGGGTAGATGGAATTTGGAAAACTAAAAGTGGCATTTAAAACAACCATGGAGATGTTCAAGTGTGAAATTTAAAAAAGTAAATCTATGTCCCCTTTCTGATCAATACCATCAGGCCCATTCTGTGATAAATACAGATTAGTGAACTAAGTAATAGCTGAAATAATCAGAAGTACAATTTCTGATCTGCCATATAAATCAATGGACAAAAAATCTCTTTTGGTTTATACAGGAAAGAATCCAAAGTAGTCGTCCTCCGCAACGTCACGGCCCTGCCCGTGGCCTGGCGCATCACCAGCCTGGAGCACCTGGGCGAGGACTTCTCTGTGTCCATGATGCAGGGCACCATCCCCGCCAAGGCCGAGTACAGCCTGCAACTGCACTTCCAGCCCTCCAAACCCATCATCGTCAAGAAGGCGATTCGGTTGGAGGTGAGGCTTCTCCCACCTTTAGACTTGGTCGTCAGTATGTGTACACATTGGGTTCCCTCACACACATACACATGGGCTACCAATGCATACACTATACACACTACACACACCACACTACCAACACACACACACACTACCAACACACACACTACCAACATATACATACCACACACACATTGCCAATGCACACACACTACCAAGACACACTACACATACCATACACATGCATACTACCAACACACAAGCCCCTCCAGGCATATACTATACATACTACTACACACACATGCATACTACCAACACATCCACTATACATACTACACACAAGCATACTGCCAACACACACACACACACACACACACACACACAACACACAGCCAGGTCTTCCTGTTACACGCTCCCATCCAGTCCCCATCTTACAACCCCTGACCCACAATACATTGCTCTGCACACACTGTAAGCTCCCTAAAGGCAGTCTCGTTTATAGCTGGTTCCCTAGTGCTAAGAACAGAGAACTCAGTCGATGCAGAGTGAATGAGAAAGTGAGTGAGTGAATGAATGAATGAATGAATGAATGAATGAAGTTACTATCCCAGGTGAGCATCAGGTTCCTGATTTCACTCCCCAAACTCAGTCACTCCTCAGATTCCTATCTCAGGAAATGTCACCCTCCACCCAGCTACTCCGCAGATACCTAAGAATCACCCTCGATTCCCCCTTTTCCTGACGGCCTCCCCTCTGCCCTAGTCCTCCAACACGTCTTGTCAACTCCGTCTCCCAGCGCGTCTCTGCCCCTGCACTTCTCTGTCTACACTGCCCCCCCACCCTCGCCCAGGCCACCTGCCTGTCTCTCACCTGGACTCTGCAGAGGCTCCCTAACTGGTTTCCCTCTTCACATTCCCCCCAAGTGTCCAGAGAGATCGTGAAAACGTTAGCCATTCTCCATCCTAACACACTCTGCTGGCTTCCAGCTGCCGTGAGAATAAAGCCCAGGGTCCTCACCTGCTTCGGAAGCCCTGCCTGCCTCTGTGTCTGCACCTCACTCCACCCTGGCTCTCACCCACTGGCTCCCGTCACATGGTTGTCCTTAGGCTCTGCAGGGAGTTGGCTCCCCTTTGTGGTAGAGAAAACTACTCACTGTTGGGGGGGGAAGCCTTCTGAGACAGGTGAACCTGGGTTTTTTTATGTAGGGTCTAGCTGTGAAACTTCAAGAAGCCACTGTTTCCAAACCTGTGAAATAGGGTAGTGCTACCCAGCTCAGAGGGCAGTCATGCAAACTAAACGAGATGAGGGGTGTACAATGACCAAATAAAAAGAAGCTTCTCTCTCCCCTCCTCCCCACAAATCAGGCAAAGAGCACTTTACACGTGATCACTTTTTAAAAAAATCACTGTTAGGGACTGAATTATTTCCCCCCAAATTTGCACTTTGAAGTCCTAAATCCCACAACCGTGAAGTGATCCCGTATCCATGGTTTCGCATCCCGCAGTCTCAGGTACCTGTGATGAACTGGGCCCTGAAAACATCACTGTGTTTTGCCATGGATAATGTGCACTGACACGTGGGTGCGCATTATACATGAAATTATGCCCATTATTATACCCAAGTTATGTAATCATTATACCCATGTATAAAGGGCACTCACTTTTCCCTCAAAAACTTGGGCAAAAGAGTGCACATTATACATGCAAAATACAGTAAATGGAAAATCCCAGAAATAAGCAATTCATAAGTTTTATATTGCGTGCTGTTCCAAGTAGCGTGATGAGAATTCTGTGCTGTCCAGCTGGGGACATGGATCATCCCTCTGTCCAGGGAGTACAAGCTGTACGTGCAGTACAGAAGGTATCCTGAGAGAGACCACATTCACATAACTTTATACAGTACATTACTATAACGGGTCTATTTCATTGTTAGTTATTGTTAGTTTCTTACTGTGCCTAATTGATAAATCAAACGTCATCACAGGTGTGCGCAGGAAAAAACTGAGTATACACGGGGTTCGGTGCTATCTGCAGTTCCAGGCGGCCACAGAGATCTTGGAGTGCACCCCCTGTGGATACAGGAGGGCTACCACACTCTAAGGACTTATCAAACAGGACACCCCTCACCCAAAATATGGCTGAAGGCGGCTAGAAACTGACTGTAGGGTCATCTGGGGCAGTGCTTCTCCAACTTTAAGCACACAAATCATCCAGGGATCTTGTGAAAATGCACATTCTGATTCACAGGTTTGGGGTGAGGCTGGAGAATCTCTTTCTAACAAGCTCCCAGGTGAGCCTAATATGCTCCCAGGTGAGCCTAATATGCTCCCAGGTGAGCCTAATATTGCTGGTCTGTGGGCTATGCTTTTTTCTTTTTAAAGATTTTATTTTTTATTTTTAGAGAGAGGGGAAGGAAGAGAGGGAAACATCAATGTGGTTGACTCTTCCACGCCCCCCTACTGGGGACCTGGCCTGCAACCCAGGCATGTATCCTCACTGGGACTCCAACCAGCAACCTTCTGGTTCACAGGCCAGCACTCAATCCACTGAGCCCCACCAGCCAGGACTGTGGGCTACGCTTCTGAGCAGCAAAGCCCTTAGACTGCAATGTTATTCCCCCACGGAAAACGTATGGTCATCCATTCACTTAGATACCAACTGTTGGAGGCCACCAGGCACTGTGTTAAGTGCTGAGGATTAAATATAATAGGATCTTTACCCTTAAGGAGTTCCTAGCCCAGTTAAGGTCTTAGAGGCTTTCTCTGAATTTTACAAAACAAGGGCCAAATCAAATACAAATTGAACCCAACTGAAGACAAAGACCTTACAGGACAGCTTGCAGAGTGAAAGCACTTATACGGATTATGCTGGAGAAAACAACAATGCTGAGATAAATACCTCTATTCAAGGGCTCAACAGATGATTCAAGCTATGGTAAAAACCTGACAATCCTGAGAAGCAGAGTGAGTGACGGGCACCACTGGGTGTCAATGTATCTTCAAAACCAATAAAACCCATGGACATGCAGACATGTCTATACATCACCTCCGCTCTCTTCCTCAGCATGGCAACACCCATCACAGAGACTTGCTAGCCTTAGCGAGAGCCAGGGTATAAACAAGAAGCAGTATGAAAAGAGGGTCAAGAAAGTAATCCTGACGAGAGAAGGAGTTAGGTGGTTTTGGACATTCTCATGTTAGAGCAGAATAGGAGGGTCCTCTTAGCAAACTCTTTAGTTGATGAGGGAACTAAAACCCAAAGCAGCTGATGTAGTAGCTCTCAACCTGGGCAATTTCGCAGCCCTAGGGGACATTTGGCAATGTCTGGAGACACCTGTGGTTGTTAGAAGTGACGGAGTGCTCCCGCTGTCTAGCTGGTGGAGGCCAGGATGCTGCTGAAATTCCTACCATACACAGGACAACCCACCACTGCCAAGAATGATCTGACCTGAAATGTCAGTCCTGCTGAAGTTAAGAAACAGTGAGTTAAGGAATTTGCCCAAGGTCAAAGAATGAGCATCACAGGATGGACTAGATTAGAGCTGTCCAACAGCATTCTACAGAGAGGGAAATGTTTTAAAGTCTGCAGCATCCATTAGAGTAGCCAACAGCCGCATGTGGCTAGTGAGTATTTGAAATATGGGTAGCATGACTGAGGAACTGGATTACATTTTTAAAATTTTATCTTTAATTACTTAAATGTGAATGGCCACACGTGGCTAGTATCTACCCTATTGAACAGAGCAGAAACACATTCCATATTTCCTAAGTTCCAGACTGGTGTTTTCTCAGTTGTACTCTTCTGAAATCACCTACCCACCTGACTGTATCACAAAGATCTGGAAAAAACCCACAAATGTAAAACAGTAGAAGAAAAATCTTAATGAAACATTCCCAGTTAAACGCGTTTCTGTACATTGAGAAATAAAGCATACTGTCACATTGGTGACATGTACGCCTACATGTAATGACTGCAGAAGCAAGAAAGGACAAAATATTCCTACTTCCCCTTGCCAGGGTTATATGACAGAGATAAAACAACCAGCCCTCTGAACCTTGAGATCTTGAGATTTTGAATCTGATTTCTCCCCTTGGTCACCTAACAGTCCCTTTCACTTCTCAGAAACTAAGTAAGAAATGAGGCAGACCAACTCATTAGCAAATGTCATGCTTCCCACCTCCCTCCCATCACAGAGGCCACTCTCTAATGGGCTGGTTTTGATGGAGACCCTCGGAATACGCACGCACCGTGCGCTAGGCACTGTGCTAAGCGCTAAGCAAACATCATGTAGCTTCCTTGTCACTGCACCCTAAGGACTGCACATACATTGTCACTTCATTTCCAAGGCAGCCTTTTGGGCAACAGGGAGGTTAAATAACTCGACCCAAGTCACACAGCCAGTCAGAAGCAAAGCTGGGATCCCCAAACTCCTGCTTTCAAACACCGCGCTAAAGGCTAATCCTGGGGCAACAACACTAGCTGGAAAGGCGTGAGTTGTTCCCCCAGGGAGCGGGACGCCAGCAAAGATAGCCAGGGCGGGGTTCCGCCTCCGCTCCCCACGCCCAGCCCTGGACGCCCGCAGCTCTTACTTCTCGATCTCCAGCGCTGCTACCTTCCGCTTTTCGTAGAGCTTGTCATTGAGGGCGCGCACGATGTTGGGTGTGAGCGGCGCGAAGTCCTTCTCGGGGTTCATGGTGACAACTCAGAATGTCCCCCGGAGCCCCGCGACTCCTCAGCCCGAGAGTGCCCCGGCCGCGCCGGGGTCTAGGGGAGTCTGCGGCTCGGCGCTGCCTCTGGCGCCCGCTCATGGACTACGCCAGCCCCGGCCCACCTGTCTCGTTCCGCCGCCGCGTGCCGCCTCAGAACCCGGGCCTGGGCCCCGCCCCCGCACGCTAGTGCCTAAAGATTCTCGCGACTAGCTCCAGCCCTGCATCAGCCCCGCTCACCAGGCAACGGCCATGTTACGCGATCACGTGATACCGCAGCACCTTCCTTCTTCCGCCTCGAGGACCCGCCCCCCATCAGCCACACCCCCGCACAAAGGCCGACTGTGGGTTGGCCACGCCCACTAAGCTCCACCTCCTCGTCTCACACTCAGGTGCCCCACTGCCTGAGTCCTCCTGTTTGAGATAAGCTCGGTGGGCTGGGTATCCGTACCGCTCAACTGCACTCACTAGGTAGGCGTGGGCATAGTGGGCTTCTGCAGACGTTCTTGAGACGGAAGGGGCTCTTGGAGCATGACTTAAGAGTAATTTATTCAATACGTAATGAATCCACCAGTTCGTTCACTACTTAGTCACCAATTTCGCATATGCCAACGTTTCCTAAATTATAGTGACACCATTTTGATTTTTGCCATATCCTAGTAACTTCTACTATTATTTAAAAAAATATTTTCTCAAACCAACTCACTTAAAATCTTCAATTCCTACTTTATCCTTGTTTATTCCCTAAAACCATGAGTTTGAATAGTTGTGTATTTTTTTAAACATTAAAATAAATTCTCGATTAAAAACAGTACTGCCTGTCCACCACCTAAAGTCTCTGGTGCCAACGGTGGCTGTTACCCCACCATTTGGGACCTGGGGTGTGTTTGCAATGATCTGATACCCGGAAGGACTAGGTTATAGACAGCAGAAGCGGCCCCCCCTCCCTGTCTGTTGGGGGAAGGTCCCCAGATGGAGCCACCATAAAGCAGCCTCTCCAAAGTACTGTGAGTGTCATGCTGAATGGTGGAACAGAAATTGAAGCTATGTGGAAAAATTTTAAAAGCACTTTATGGACTCAGTGTGGCTAAAGATGCAAGGAACAGGGAGAGACATCAGAGTTCTTCATAACCTACAGTGAACAGGGACTTAGGACACGGGCTAGACCACAGGAGAGTCCAGTGAGTATACAATGTGAACGTAACACGTGGTGGTACCTTTCTCTGAGTGAAAGGTACACCTGTAAAGCTTGTACCCACCTTGAAAATGGAATATTTTCCTCAATTCATAGATTAGAATCTATGGGACGCAAGTGAGGGGCCATCGTAGGCAGAATCCTAAGATGGCGTCCAAGACTCCCACTACTTTGCATACATGCCCTGTGTAATCTCTTCCCCTTGGGTGTGGCCAAGATTTGTAAATATAATGGGCTGTTACACTAACAATGATTATATTATATTATGTAGCATAAGGTATTTTGCAGATGTAATTAAGGTCCCTACTCAGTTGACTTTGAGTTGATTAAAAGGATTATCCTGGGTGGGTCTGACCTAATCAGGTGAGGCCTTAAAAGAAGTTAGAAGAGATTTAAAGTGAGAGAGATATTCTCCTTGTGGCCTTGAAGGGTAAACAGTAATGACAGTGAACTTCCTGTGATGGGCCATGTGGTGAGGACCTTAGGGTGGTCTGTAGTTGCTAAAACTAGTCCCCTGTTGTTAGTTGCCAAGAAAATAGGGACTTCAGTTATATGGCTGCAAAGAAATGAGTTTTGTCAACATACTGAGGGAGCTAGGAAGTGAGTCTTTCTAGTTGAACCTCTAGATGAGGGTGCAGCTGGCTGGCATCTTGCTTTCTGCCTCAGCAACCCTAAGCCAGGAGCCAGTTCAGTCCATCCCTGACCTATGGAGACTGAGATAAGAAATTGTGTTGCTTTAAGATGCTTGGTTTGTGGCAATCTGTTATGTGGACGTAGAAAACAAACATAGGAGCTAAGCCAAGCTCAGTAAGTCATGGAGGAATGGTGTCTAGAAAAACCTGTGAAATGTCCTTGTCTTTACTAGTCAGTTTTCACATCTTTTAAAACCTTTGCCAACAAAATCCAATGAATGAAGATTCATCTGGAGAGAAAATGTATCACTTAATGGTTTCCACCTCTTACCTTGATATCAAGTAGCAATAATGAGGACACTTCCAAATATTTTGTAAGGCTTATGTCTTTAAGATTTTGATGGCTGATACAAAACAATGAAAAAAATAAAATTGGTGGGAATAGTTTGGATCTATTTCTCCAGTGTGTATTCATTTCCACTGGACCCACATCTAATATAATATCTCATCTCTTTTGCTGCTTCGACTTTTCTTAAAGGTGAACCAAATTCCCCCAGGGTCATAATGTGATACAGTTTTTAATAATTGAAACAGTAAGGAAAAAATTTTTTTTAACTGAAAGGAACTCTTTTCTCCTGAGATCACATGGTGGACTTGGTTGCTAAGAAACGTTTCTTACTCAGGATCCAAAAAATGCTTTGTACTACCTTTAGTTCAGAAGTTCCTGGAAAGAAGTGGTTTCTTTTCTTTATTTTAGAAAATGCCAACGAAATGAGGTTATTTATGCATAATTGCCCTGGCAGGGGTTCTAAGAATAAAGCCCAGCATCCACCATTGCCTTCTCTGTGTGCTCACTTCTCTCCTGACACTGGGGCCAGCCCTGCCCAGGCCTGCCACCCTCAGACGCTTGTAGACTAGTGGATAATTGATGCTCCTGGTTGCACACGGGCCACCGTCCTACAGATGTAACTCATTTGCATCTGTGTGATGCCTGGTTGTTGTTATACCACTTACGGATATTGTAGCAAGAGGGTAGTGGTGACACTGTAAGAAACTGTACCCAAATCTTGAACTGTGCAAAGCAGTTTCTCCAACAGCAACATAGTTTTGCTGGAGTTTCAGGGCAAACATGAGAGTATAAGAGGTTTGGGAAGTCCCGGGCTTGGGATTTCTTGAGATCTGGGAGGTCCTCATGATGTCATCATGTCATCACCTATGACCTCAGGCATGTCTCCCCCAAAGAAGTGGTTACACTTCAGATGTCACTGTCACCAGGGCCTCTGTTTTCATCATATTCTGTGCACAATGCTCCGTGGCGTTGTGGCGCCTGGTGGCCCCGATGTTTTCTCCACCCCACCCCCCACCCAATGAGGTGTCTCCTGGTCTGCTTTGCTGAGTATGTATTCTCTCGACTACCTTCTGTCAGAATGCTAGTTTTCACCAAGCCTCTCCCCCAGTCCCCGTTGAGGTACTTTGCCATCCCAAACTTGCCAGTATGAAACGATTTTGTTACTGTCTTTTTGAGACCAAGCGAGCATGAGAACAAGCCCAAGGGAAGAGATGTATGTACCCATCTCAAACCATCTGGCAGAGCCTGTGTTGGGCTCTTGGTCCCTGAAAGGCTTTGAGCTCTAGACTCAATGGCTTGGGGAGAGCTGGGGCAGAGTGAGGTAGGGGAGTCACCCCTGGCCACCTGAAGGCACCATTTTGCCTGCGTGACACTAGCAAGTGGCCAGTTTCTGTAGCAGCGGGTATCTGGGATTGTGGGAGGTGGGGAGGAGGTGGAAGCAGAGCCCTCAGGTCTGGGAGTGTGCACGTGTGTTGAAGCAAATCCACTCTGGGGCCACTCTTTTTCTTTTCAGTTTTACAGGCATTTAAGAGTTTATCAACTGGTCCAAAAAGAAAAGCCAGTTGTTTATCATCTTTATTTCAACACTGCAGGCCCGAGGGGAAGAGGCAGAAGGCCCCACTCCTCCTTGGAGGTAGAGCTTCTGTAGGGCTTTCCCTGGGAAGAGAGGCACTTAGAAGACACCCTTTGGCCCTGACTGGTGCAGCTCAGTGGATTGAGCGCGGGCCTGCGAACCAGACAACCGTGGTTCGATTCCCAGTCAGGGTACATGCCTGGGTTGCAGGCTGGTTCCTTGCAGGCTGGTTCCCTGCAGGCCAGTTCCCAGCAGGGGACGCACGAAGGGCAACCATACACTGATGTTTCTCTCCCTCTCCCTCTCTCCTTCCCTTCCCCTCTAAAGATAAATAAATAAAATCTTAAAAAAAAAAAAAGAAGACACCCTTTGAAGACACCCTTTGTGTGCTTACGAAGGGCTGCAGCTTAAACATATCGAGATGGGGGTCCTTCCCTGGAAGTAGACAGACGCCTGACTCAGTTGCAGACTAACAGCCAGGTGGGTGTTTTGATCCATAGCACTGGTTCTCAACTCTGCTGTACAGGCTGAAAACACGAAACAAAGCAGAAGCCCCATACCCCTCAACCCCCGACAATTAGAGCAGATTGGGTGGGGGTGGGGGGGTCTGGACCAGAGTCAGGTGATTCTGATATGCTGATGGGTCGAGAATCACCATCTTCAGGACCACTGCTGTGCACAGGACTGGGGGTGGGGGGCTGGGGTCTCAATTAGCGTTTTCCCAGGGCCCATTCCTCAGCCAGAGCCTGCTGTGGGGAGCAGGTGTGGGATTCAGAGGTGGAGGGAGCACCCTGGCCGCTGGCCCTGCAGTGAGTGCTGGTATCTGTTAGTTGCTTTGAGAATAGTGACTTCTTCAGCTTGCATGTGAAAGCAGAATATAATACCCCCATCAAACAGAGTCACATCTAGGGGCTCTTTAAGCCGTCATGGGTTTTTAAAGAGAAACCGCGTCGTGTGTTGTACACTGCCAGGTTCTGTTCCATCGCAGGTCGTGAGTGCGATACCTGAGTCGTTGTACTAAAAATGGGGGTTATTTACACAGTGCTTGGGCTTTGGGGGCGTGTTAAGAAACCAAATTCAGAGACTTGCCCTTGCAAAGTAAAATAGAGCTTTGTTTTGCACAGTTACTACATTTAATATGGAATATGTCTATCGTGCATATATTGGCATACATTTGATATGGAGATAAGTGCCCCGACAATGGAATGAAGAGGGAAAACAGTACCTTTAGAGTTCTGTTTTCTCTATTCACCAGGCCAGCACAATACACAGCTATTAAGACTGAGGAGAGGGTTACCACTAAGGGGTGATCCCCTTCAGATAATAAACCCATTTAATGCTTGTTTCTCTGCCTTCCCCAGGAGGACACACCACAATCAGCTTGCTGGTGATGGGTGCTTTGCTGCCCGATGGGTTTCCGTCGAAGTAGACTGTGATGTTGTTGATCTTCTTGGGCCGCACGGTGTCTGTGGCCCGGATGGAGAAGGCTGGGTTCTCCACGATGAAGGAGA